CTGACAGATACCACACCTAGTTAGGCCTGTCACATTAACACAACTGGTAAACAGGGGGGTTGCAGCCCAGAGACCCAGTCTAAGCGTGGTTGGACCGCATGGCTCCGCCCACGGTGAGGTGCAGAAAGCCAAGCATATCACCCAAGGGGTGCACTCACAAAGTGCTAACAGGGATCTAAGCTGCTGTTCATTTTGTAACCATGACAGAGATAGTAAAGTTCTATTTGTTTCTATTTATGTTTGTTTCTCTCTCTTCTTTTTTTTTTTTGGGGTATCATTATGTCTGTTTCAAGATTAGCAAGCCACAGGAGGTAAGCCGTATTATGGGAAAAGCCCAAGCTTGCTTGGGTTTTACAGCCCTCAACTGATGCCAGGATTTAAAGTGACAGGTAATGCTTAATGCTGAAAATAAAATGTCAATATTCTCCTCAAATAAACAGAATTACCTCTTCTTAAAATCAAAGTCAATCTGCTTTTAGTACCCCACTCAGAGCTACCTAATCTAAGTAGCCAAAAACAACAGAAGATACTTAAAGTACATAACAGACAATAAAAATCAGGGGAGAACAGCATATCAGTGCCATTTCCTATAACTTCAAAGACTGTTTGATTGCTAATCAGAGAGTAAAATGGCAGATATTTAGTTGATTAAAAGAGCTGCTTCAAACAATACATTTCAAGTTATCACAGAATCATGGCAATTAGAGATGGAAAGGACTCATTAAGACATCTTGAACATATTCTGTTGCTTCTCCAAACCCAAATTACTGCAGCTACCTTTTAATGAAATCTGTGCTTATCACCTTCTCTTCCCATTTCACAGAAAATTTCAGTAGAAATAGTGCTTTAGCATTTGATTTAATTGAGCAGCTACTGATTAGCTTCTCAGAGATAGAGTAGCTGCTGATTATGGGGAAAGCACACAGTAACACTGATTATAATTTCTGAATATACTAGGCTGAGAGTAACCAGGATTATAAATAAGGAGGCTAATTTGAGGCAAAATATGCCAGTTTCTTAAAGCTTTACAACACTTTATTGGCTAAATATAATATTCATGAATGAATGTACTATTCACGTTAATCAGTAATGTGACTATACACAACTGATTTCTTTAAAATACTCAAACACAATGTAAAAGTTAAAACCATAAAAAGACAATTTTTTATTAAAGAAAGTATTACAAAAATAACTTCACCGTTTTAGGGGTAAATATGATCTAAATATGGCTAGGTCACACAAAGTCTAAAATGGATGAACCCCTTCCAGGGTAAAAGGTCCAACAGGGCCTGTCCCTGTGCCTTTGTTCAAGTCTTTAGCCCTGTCTCTGGGCTCAGACCTCATCTCCTTCTGGGCTAGCTTTAAGTCTGTGCCTGCCCTGATATAGAGCAGTGTCCCCAGGGCTTTCTCCCTGGAGATTCTTCACCTTCTTATTGCCCCAATGCTCCAGCAGGTCACTCCTTCACTTCAGTCCCCTTCCACTGGTAAAGTTCAACAAATGGTTGGCCCTCTGCAGGGTCTTCAGCCCTGTCCTTGGGCTTCTATTCCAGCCCTGTCCTTGGGCTTCTACATAAAATGTTTCCCCTTCTGAGGGCTTTGGCTACTTCACCAGTGGGGGGAGCCAGGCCCACCCACTACTCCAGGTCCCAATCTAGGGACCCTACAAATATCGGCCACATGCTACTTTCCTTAATGGTGGCTGCTACTGCATTCCCTGGGCTGCTTCCCACTCTGTCCCATCACCTTCACCCAAGTCACCTTACAGTTACAGTCCTCGGGTTTTCTGTCTGTTCCTACTTGAGCAGGGTCTCTCCCCAGCCTCCTCGCATTGAGAATTTCACAACATTGCAATCCTTCCTCACTCTTCTGGTCCCAGCCAACAACTGACCTGCTCAGACTTTGCAGCTCCTTTTAACTGAGCCTGCTGGGCTCTGATTGGCTTCTTCCCTGCAGCCTTTCTAGGCAGGCCTGGCGGACTCACCTTTACTGCTCCTTTTCTAGGGCAGGATGTGGTAGGACCACAAGGCCTCCAGCAGGGGACAGTACACCCTGTCACAGGGACTCCTTGCAGAATGGCACTTTAAACAAAATATTATTGTATAACAACTCCAATTATACAATAAAATATCCATGAAAGCTATCACTTTAATTAGAAAAGAAATTCATTAAAGTGAACTAATTTCATTTCAAATAACAAACAGGTAGGTTATGAAAAAATTGCTGGATACCAAAGATTATAATAATATACTCCCAGTAGGCAAAGAAAGGTAATAATCTTTTATAATTATACAAAATTACAATGGATTTTAAAGTTATGGGGCTTCACTCTCCACTCCATAAAAAGAGATAATTACTCACCTTGTAATTATTTTTCTCTGAAGAGCTCATCCATGCAGGATTCTTATTCTTGGGCCTTGTGCAAGACAGACGGGAACTTCCTACACTCTTAGAGTTCTGGATCCTCCCTAACAGCAGTAATAATTGAAGTCTCAGCCCACCTAACCTATATACTTCAATTGTCTACTCAGAACAAATTGGGAATTGGGTAAATTATCAGTTAAACTTAGTGACTCTGTCACCCCACTGGTGTCTTTGATCAGCCAAGGAAGCTGAACCCTCCACTCCCATGGTGAGTAGGGTAAGCTATGACTATCACCAACCATTTCGTGAAAAGATGCAGCACTGAGGCCTGCCCAAAAGGCAAGACTCAAAATTAGTAGTGTAGTCCCCCTATGGCAAATCTTCCTTTATTTTTGAATATCCTTAAGTAGGCAGCTGCAGAACACCTAGCCAGATAATTTCTTCTAAAAGATCACTGAAGGCTCCCATGGTAATCAGTAACTATTTGGGGGGTAAATATTGATTCAGTTCCCTGCGCCCTAAGGTGTTGCCAGATGCTTCTTTCTTTTTTACTATCAGGATATAACATCCTTTCCTTTCTTGCCTAGAAGCACAAGCTTGATAGCTTTTTTGGACATTAGGAATAGATTTCCTGCAACATCTCTTCCTGATACCCAGAGGTGGGGAAAAATCTTGATAATTTTTGAAAACTTGATTTTTGCAGTCCCACAGAGCAATTCCTAGGACTCTCATGTACAGGGGGACAAGGGCACACCTCAGGGTAAAAGGATCTTAAATCTGCTCTGACGGGGATGTCCTGGCAAGCTACGGAAAGTGGTTGGCTGCCTATCTGCCCTAGTTGTATGCAGTGTTTTTGTAGCAATGCTGGTCCCAGGATATTAGAGAGACAAGGTGAGTGAAAGAATATATTTTATTGGACCAACTTCTGTTGATGAGAAAGACAAGCTGTGTAAGCTTGAAAGTGTATCTCTCTCACCAATAAAAGATATTACTTCACCTTATCTCTCCTATATCCCCTAGAACACACCAAAAAGGTTTTTGGTACATACTGAAAAGCCATTGGCTTCTGCTGCTGTGAATGAGTATCCTGGGCAAAATGGGTATTGGCCTCCCTTGAAATCAAGTGTCAAGGCACAAGCCACCTTTCTAAGTGGTAGAACCTTTTCCTTCCCTCCCTTGAGGAGAGGGCCTAAGGGACAGGATACAAGCTCAAAACAAGGTCTCTCATTGATAAGGCAAGTCATTAGGTTTTTCTCTCGATCTCCAGGGAAGAGACTACAGCCACTCACTCCTGGTGGGAGTCACTACCAAGACAGCAGATCTCATTACTGTATCAACTACATCAAGTGCTGCCCACATCTGATGACAGGACAAATCAACACCCTCATGCACTTACCTTTTAAGTTACTGCAGAAAGGATCTGACCAGGACAGACACCTATTCCTAAAACTCAATCTGTACTTTGGCTATCACTCAAAAGATTGCCTCCAACCTTTGTATCCCAGCACTGAAGTACAGGGTTTGGGGGGGGGGGGTGCCATATGCTCAGCCTTCCTTTGCTTTGACCATGGTTGTCCAGACTACTAAGTTCTTGCAGGAGAAGGTGAGCAATCACCATCATTATGGAGGAGCACTTATTATTCAACCTTGTTCAAACAGGGCTAGCTGAGACAGGTATGTAACACCTTCTTCACCAGCTGGTGCCAGGGCACAGCAACTCTACTGGAGAGGGGATTCTAGTAGTCAAATTAAAGCCTCAGAGCAATGACTAAGGATTTGAAAATACTGAAACAAAAGTCCGTAAGGTCAGCAAACTAAAAGACCAATTAAAAGGACTGGACCTGATTGGCAGATAGGAATGGCCACACCAGAAGAAGATAGTCTTTCCAATTCCTGTCTGTTTTGGGATGAAGAGCCACAACAGAAAGCTGGAGACAAAGCTCCTACAGTAAACTCTTTCTCTAACTGCAGACAAGAAAGAACTATTTGGAAACTTCCAAAAGCAGCATTTAGACGGCTATCTGGTGCAACTACCAGTGGGAGGATGGCAAATGGAAAGCTCATGCCCCAACCCATGACAGCTGCTTTAGGGACCAAAAACCTTTAGACCTTGGGAAGTTCCAAGGAACTTGTAGAACAAAAGGCCACGAGTGAGAATTCTGCACAAATGTTATTTTGAGTCGTTTAGATTATCTTAGAATTCTTCCCCTGGTCACACCTCCTACAACCATAATGACCCAAACGAAAAACAAAACACACAACAATGATTTTTAAATTGCTGATAAGTCTATTTCAATTACGCCTCTCAGCACAATGAAAAATGCTTCATTAGGTTCAGGTGATGTAATTAGCATAATGTTTATTTACTGTGGTTGTATAGTTCATATAGTTTGCTGCACACCTTCAGTATGTACATAAATCTTAACAAATAACTAAAAGCAGTAGTGTCAGGAAAATCATTACTTGCAAAATAAAAAACAACCAAAACCAAACTATTAGTAAAATACTAACATTCAGAGATAGAATAAGGCTGTGTGCACCAATCTGTGCACACAACATTATGGTACACAGCATTCATTTAATTTTAAACATTATCCAACTCAATGGCTATAAAAATATGATTTCATGCTCTAACTCACCAACAATCTCACTTGGCTCCTTGTTGTAAAGTTTTTTGTTCCAGTAAAGGAGTCTGAGGAAAGGAAAGGAGACCAGAAGAACAAGACAAATTCCAACAAACATATGTCCTGTAAATGCTGCAAAATCCAATCCCTAGGAGTAAAAATGCAATTATAAATTACAGATCAGCTATTTTCCTACATTACCTGAAAAAGTATTTGTCATTATGTACTTTACAATTCAGTGATTATATACACGTAACAAAGTAGGCAATAGGTAATTTCCAAGCATAGCATATTTTATGCTTCCCCAGTCTCAGGGAAATTATTATTAAATAAATTTCATGCCAACTAAACCAACGCAAAAATATTCCATTAAATTTCAGTGTATCAAAATAGTTCTTATATATTTACACACTAATTACCAGTTCCTGGCTCCAATGATGACAATATGAGTTTTTGCATCCATTTTACTCAAACCAAGACCTGTCCCAAATTCTACAATATGCTATTACAGCAAAAACATTCTCTAGCAATTAGAACACATTTTGCAATATTTTTTCTTCGATTTAGTATTTGTTTGAGTTCCTTTATACTTCCTGTATGACGGAGGCTTGGAACAGGGTCAAAAGCAGAATTCAAATATATAATGCAATGTTCGATATTTGGGGTGGAATTTTCCAAAGTGCTTAGTGTTGATCTAGCTCTGCTCCCATTAAAGTCAAAGGTAAAATTCCATTGACTTAAATGGAAGGAGAGTTGAGCCAATGCAGTGTGCTTTTGAAAACCTCCCCCATTATTTCTTACCAAAAAAAATTCAAGATTTGTCCCCTATTTATATTATATTGCTTTAATTTTAATAAAAGCCCTAATGACAAAGAGTTTCAACTCTAGATATTAGAGATATATTGATATCAAGGTTCCCTCCAGTATCCACAACAAGAGTTCTCTCAACAGGGAATCCCCACAAAGCCAGATTTGGGAGGAAGTTTTTTTTAATATTATTTATTAAGGCACTGGACTACCACGGAAGAGATCTGGGTTCAATTCCCATCTCTCCCACAGACTCGCTGTGTGAAGTCATTTAATCTTTCTGTGCCTCAGCCTCAGTTAAAGCATCTTGCTGCTGTTGTAATACAAATAATACATAGTAATAACATTTCCATGCAGAATCAGGGGCTGTTTACATCCTGAATTTTAAGACAGCTTGGACTTGCAACCTGAAATACACACTGTAAGGCTGCACCATACTCCCTATTGAGAGCATCTGTGTGGAAAGCTCTCAGTTCAAGTATATATGATGTGGAAACATCCAGAGCAAACAAGACAGAGGCCCTCCCACGCAACCCCTGCCATCTTTTCAGAACAGATTGTATACGTCAATCCTGTAAATGCTCATAAAGGCTCGTCTGGATACTTAGCAGGCATCAAATTAAGTTTCAAAGTTGAAGGAGAGAACATTATGAAGGAATCAATCTACAAACTTTTAAGAGATCTACCAAGAGTCATGTGAGCAAACAAAGACTTACAGGGCCAGATTTTTCAACATCCGCTCACAAAAACAGACATATTGTCCTGCATATATTTACATAATTACAGACATTTTGCATGAAAATGAGCCTAACTACCCAAATGTTTGCATAAGGGCCTCTTTCTTTAAAGATATGGACCACAAAAGAAGACAGAAAATGCTGCCACGTGAACCATGATTCAAGAGATATGAAGCAGCAGTAATTGGTTCTACACAGTCTAATCTAGAAGGTTTGCAGGTTTCCTATATAATCTGAAGAGATGCAGGAGTATGCCTGGGACTGAATTGTCTGCACTTTGATGCTGCACAAACCAATAATCCTCATTCCCAGGATAATACAAGGATTGGGACACAGTTGGATGAGGAGTAAAACAGGAGAGATGATCAGAATATACCTAACCAAGAGCTACTGGAATAAATCCAATTCTTTCAGTTTTCAACAGACTCTCAGAATGTAATGCACTTGAGACTTTTCATAGCACTGACAGCAATTTATCTATCTCAGTGAAAAGAAAGACAGCACTAAGGTGGATCCTGTTGACAGGAGTTCTCGAAAGAGAGAGTCAGAGTTAAAGGCACTTAGATTATTTGCTGCTTTTAAAATGAAAAGGAGAAAGAGGGACCTAAAACGCACAGAAAACACCTTTATTTCTGATGATTGGACTAGACCAGAGTCATGTGTTATGGGAACATGGCAAAGATAAAGAATATGGTACCTCAGAGACCAGGCCTTAGACTTCGATTTACAAAGTTTCTTACATCTCTAGGTTTTGGATGTCTGCACCAGTGCTGAAAAGTTTTGTTATGAATTGTAACAATGCAGAAACTTCTCAACAGAAAAACACAGTACAAGAAATACCTTTATATGAAACCCTCAAAATTAAATTCCTATGTGAAAAAGAAAAGCATAGCAATCAGGAAAAAAAATAAAATGCTGAAGTTGATAAGCAGCTCTCAAGTTTGATTGACAGCTGAAAGAAATTGAACTGAGATGGGGCTGTGCATACAGATACTTATTTTGAAGGGACAGTGTCAATTTATACTCTTTGAAATTCAAGACTAGCACAAGGGCACAAGAGTTGACACACAAAAGTCTCAGAAGTAAGGATTTGTGCACAACATCAGCAGAGGAAAATTATTTGCATCTTCTTGGTATTCCATCACAGCTGTTTCTCAAGCAGCGCAGAGTGTTTCAGTAATTGGGCTGAATTTCGGGGTTTTGTTCAGCTCCTAAACTTTCTCCCATCAACCCTGCTTATTCTTTAAATCTTTTGAGAAGAGGACAGGCAATTCAACACCCAGCCCCACTGGCTAGTTTCCTTTGCTATCTTCTTCATACTTTGCGTAAAGTCTGATGCTCCAAGCTCCCTTCGACACTGTGGACACTTTTTACTTTTCATACCAAGTAATATCAGAAAAAACAAGCAAGATTAAATTTAGCAAGATTTGCCCAGCAGTCAACTGACATTCTCTGAATTTCTTAGGAAGAAGAATACTACCTCCTCTCTGAAGATATAAGCAGAAGGAAGATGGGTGTGGAGGAATTGCAGGCAACAAAACTCGATGTTAGGGTGTAATCTAAGAACATCCCAATGCTAGAGAAAAAGGGACTCCCTGAGATCTAGTAGAGATTTTCAGCTGGCCTGATCAGTTCAGTGTATTCATTAATGTCATAAACTTGATCTGATGTGTGTCAGGTAAGGCCGTGGTCCAGGGTCCGCGGTGGAGCCACAAGCTGGTTTCAGGTGGTCTGCCAAGCAGGGCCAGTATTAGACTTGCTGAGGCCCAGGGCAGAAAGACAAAGCCCCACCGCATGGGGCTGAAGCCCCTGGCCCTGAGCCCTGCCACCCAGGGCTGTCGCTTAAGTCTGAGCAACTTAGCTTTAGCTATGGTGGGGGGACCCAGGAAACTGACCTGATCACTACTCCCCAACGCTGGCCCTGGCTTTTATATGCAGAAAAACAGTTGTTGTGGCACAGATGGGCCATGGAGTTTTTAAATAGCATCTTGGGGGGGCCTCAGAAAGAAAAAGGTTGAGAACCCCTGAGGTAAGGTAACATTGAAAAAGTAATAACACACTGATTATTACTATTCTTGTGTGTTATATGTACGGTAAAAGCCCATGAGATCGTACAAATGTGAAGGATGTATGGGACTAAAATGTGTTTACCAGACAAGTCCGTGGAGTGAGTAAACAGGTTTCTCCCAGACAAAGGATGAGTTGACACTTCCAGACAGGTGTCATTGAAGTCTATTGGCAATCACATGTCAAGTAGCCATTCATTTGCATTGGAGGGGACAGGAACAGATCAATTTGCATTATAGCAAACACCCATGGAGGAAGAAAGCAGCATGGGGCTTCCTTCACCACCAGACTCCCAGTCTCCTTTCTCACAGCTTGAATGAACTTCATTTTGTGCGGTAACCTCCAGAAGAATCCACTGGACTATGAAAGAGAGGGGCAAAGAACCCCAAGTTATCTTTCACCTAAGATGACAAAGGAAACTTGCGAAGAGATCCTGGCCAGAGAGAGGGATGGTCAGTCATCTTGCTGGAAGAAGTGTGTGGTAAGAATCTTACCTGATACCTAGACAATAGCTTGTTAAAGTCGTAGCATTAGAAAACATTTTGAGTATTATTTGTTTGTAATCGTTTCAGTCTTTATCCCTTATACTTGATTTCACTTAAAACCTATGTCATTGTAATTAAATAAACTTGTTTTAATCTAAAGCAACCCAGTGCTGTGTTTGAATTGAAGTGACTGTTTACTTCAGTTACATTAATAAGCTGTGCATTTTGCCTCTTTAGAGGAGCAAACAAGTTTAGTATTCCTCTGAATGTTCCAGGAAAGGGCTGGACATTGCAGAGCACACAGTTTGGGGAAAAATTGGGACTGGGGGTATATCGAGGTCATTTCACCAGGTATAATCAAAACTAATTGAAACCAGGGAGTGACTGTGTTGCTAAAGGAGGCAAACTGCTGATGTCAGAGTGCTCGATGAGGGTTGCACAACATACAGATAGAGAGTGCATGCTTGTTGCTGACTGTGAGCAGTCCAGGCTCCCACAGGGGAGCTGCAGCAACAGAGCACTTAAAGCACTTGGGACTACAGGGCAAGTGATAACAACCCTTCATTGGTCTGGATTTCACCTCAGAACACAACATAGGAGTAATGCATTGTTGCACTGCCCCTGGAGCAACCCAAGGAGGGGATTGTGATATAGGGAGTCACAATCTCCCACTAAATCCCTCTGCTGCTCTGTGGAGGGAATATGTTGCACTAGGGGTTTACTCGCTGCAACCCAAGATGGTAGCATAGTTGCACCTATGGGTGCAAAAGGGGGTAGTTTCAAGGCTCCACCCACTCCCCATCACCTCCTCATCCCTCTGCATGGGAAGGGGATGTAGCATCCCTACGGAGCCTGTATCCTCTACCAGTCACATACCTTGCACATCACATCCCCTTTCTCCCCTGCACTTGTATGTAGCCAGGGCCATCATTCAGACCACTTACTCATCTAAATAATTATATTGGGCATACAAGTCAGTGAAAAATTATCTTCTAGCTTTTTTTATTATTTATATCTCTGAACACAATTTAAATGGTTAATGTGTCTACTGCACACTGCGAAGTTTCCATGAATTTTCATAAATATTATTCTCACACAATTGGCTCAAATAGCTTTGACTTGCACAATAGAGACTAGAAATAATTTTCATCTAAGAGATTTCAGTGTGTCAGACAAATGCTATGTGGTGCTGAAAATATCCTTAACTTGGGGCCTTACTGATTCTGTGAAATAGCCCAACTTTCCCAGATGGCAAAGGCATCCTTAAGGATTTGTTTTAGGGTGATTACAGCTTACAGGTTCTATTGTCTTCAACTCCAAAACTGAAAGCAGATGGGCATCTGTTCTTGTATTTAAGCACAAATTTCTACAAATGTTTCTATTTCATAGTGAGATACAGGAACATGCTATTTTCCTGAAATAATATATCACTATCTTCATGTTATCTGACATGTTTTCTTCTCACTGCTTATGGAGGTGTGAAATTTACTTCTTTGCACATAAAACTTTTTGAGAAAAAGTCTTCAGTTTTAAGGCAGAGAGAGAAAATTACACTTAAATATGACAATCCAGGACTTAAGCCTTGGACCAGTGCCAAAACAGCACTGCTGGCCTGGGTATTGTTTTATGGTCTAATATCTTCTGAATGACCAAGAGCAGAAATTGCAAGATATCACTGAAAATTTAGTTTGTTTTTTTCCTTACATAAGGAGCAACCAAATACTGTGCTTTCACTGAGAATGGCCTTTATTTTATATTTCAAGAGCAACAAGAAACAATCAAAATAAAGTCTCCATGGCCATGCCTAAGAGGCCGTGATTAAACAAGTGTCATCTAATACATTTTAACCACTAGTGTGTTCCTGTTTAATACCTTTAATGGACCTAAAATTGACTACACCCAGCTAGTACATTTTCAAAGTTATTAACCCTGTCTACACATTTAACCCTGCCTACAAAATACATTAGCTACATGGATTGCAGAAGGTAACATTCATTTTCTGTTGCTAGCGAGTCATATGATATTGGACCTAAAACACACAGTTCTGAATACCATCTTACCTTCCTCTACTTCCCTCTTTGTAACTGGTCCTTCCATCCTGGACTAATTTTAACAGTCACTAACTCAATAACTGCTAGTGTTCAAAGAACCCCTGCCGCTTGCCATATGGCAGCATGGAATCCCCTCTTTCTTATAATGTTAACAATTAATCGCTACATGACCATAAATTTAGGAAAAAATATTGACTACTAAACCAGGCTTGACTTGAACTGCAAAATATAAGTTAATAACCAGAATAATCTGATTTTAAAGTCTTGGTGTCAAATATTTTTGCTGTGTCATTGAATATTAACAACATAAAACTACTTCAAAACCTAAAAAAAGGCTGTTGCTTGTAGCTCTGCTTCGGATCTCTCTCCCATCTAACTCAGAGAGACTGAATTCTACACTGTTCCTGGCATGAGAAGAAGTTCCTGTTCCCATGTGCAAGAGGAGCGACAATGACTGAACAAATTTAAGTGAAGAAAATATTTAAATTAGACAATGATGAAGATCCATAGCTTCTCCTGAACGTGAGAGAAGAAATAGCTTATGACATCATGTAGCACGGCAGGCACTCACTGCCGCGGCGCCTCCTGCTGGTTGTCCGGGAATTAGCTCGGTTCCAGCCTTGGCGCGCCTCCTGCTGGCCAGTGTTTTCCTACCAGTACATGCTTTCTCCTGATCTCCACCACTTATAGCACTTCAGGCTCTACATCCCTCCCGGACCCTCGTGCCCCTTACCTTAGGGTGCTGCCCCACAGCAGTGCCCCAACACTCTGGGTCTCCCCTCCCTAGGGAACCCCAAACCCTTAAGCCCACCTCACCTCATGGGGCAAACTGCAGTCTGAAGTGGCCACTCATCATCGGCAAGGGGGGTTGGACCTGCTTCCTTTCCAGCCCCAGCTGCCTCCCTAGTACCTTCCCTGGCCTTTGGCAAGGCCTCAACCTGGGGACCCACCAGGCCAAAGCTCCTCAGCTTTCCCTGCCCTTCCCCAGCCCTACTCTGCCTCAGGTACCCTGCTTGCTCTCCCAGGCAGACTAGTCTTCTCTGCTCCTCAAATAGAGCTAGAGTGTTCTATCACTCCCTGAGCCTGCCCTTTTATCAGGGTCAGCTGGACCCTAATTGGGTGTGGCCACACGTGGCTGTTTACCCAACCACCTCCCTTGGCTGCTTTTAATCTCTTCCTAACGGGAGCAGAGTGACCACCCCACTACACATCAGCACTAAGCAGCATGGCGTTCACACAATCATTCAGATTTTTCTGAGAAGAAACCACTATTTGCAAAGGTGCAAATAAGGGAAAGATCCTACGTTTTATAAAGCAATTGGAAGTTTTATAGAACTATTATACAATAACTCAGCAAAAACATTCCTCTGAATTAGGTGGCCACCTTAATTTATGGTCCACTATTTTACAATCTGTATTGCTTAAAACACTTTTACAGTCTAATACAAAAACAAGAAGTCCGGTGCCACCGGACTTCTTGTAGTTTTTGTAGATACAGACTAACACGGCTACCCCCTGATACTTGAGTCTAATACAAAGTATTTTCTTTTGAGCTTCAGTCATAAATGCTGCAGGTTTACAAGTAAGTTTTATTTATAGACCGCAAATGCTAACTTTATCATAACCTATAACCAATAAATAATGCATCACAGTAAATGATATCTTTTGAATCCAAAGAATGACAATTTTGTGATGACCCTACACCTATACATTTTGTATAATAAAGTTATGCATCGTTATGAAAGTTCTATAGTCTCAAATACTACTACAGTGATGAGTACACCATAACAGACAAACTAGATAAAAATGAACTGAGTTTTTTTAAAGTATTAAAAATGTTCTGTTTTCTAGAACTAATTTAATAATGTTATCCTATTTTTGGTCACAAAACAAGAAAGATTTGCTATATGGCCATAACAAGGGATCTCATCATATATTTAATAAATTGATAAACTCATTAGGAGATGCTGAGAATTTTTGTTGCCCAACCTTTCCTTAGGCCTCTCTCTGTTTACTGTTTGTGTCCTCCACTCCCACATATACATAGGATCAGACCCTCTATTCCCTTGCTCCTTGTGTAGTCATTCACACCTGTGCAGAGTGAGTTCAAAATGCTACCAAATCAGAATTCTAGTGTTTTATGCCCACTTTGAAATGGCTGCACAAGGCACAAGGCAATGGATTCAGCCCTAGGAAAGGGGAAATTTTTTGTGCTGGATCCTCTCCCTTCCATTCTTTTTCACTTTAATTCTCTCTCTCCTGTTAACATCATGCATCAAAGAAGCAAGTTAGTGCACAGCAAGCCGGCGTGTAAATCTACATCACTCCAGCGTGCCACTCACTAACTCTCTGTGTGAACCCTGCTGCTGAGCACTAACATTTCCCTAGTGCACACTGACCTACAGCAGTATGGAAAGCACCCAAGGGAACAATTAGGGCCCAGCAGCAGGGTCCACACGGTCAGTTAATGCAAGGCATGCTGGAGTACCTTGCATTGCACCCTGCTGTGCACTAACTCTTCGTACAGATATGCCCTTACTGGCATAGCCAGGAATCTAACTCACAAGTGTCTGGCCCTATGCTTAATCTATTAAACAGCTCTGCTTCCTGTTACATCCACAAACTTTAAGCTACAAACACACGTGATCCTTGTGCAGCAAATCACTTAGACATGTAATTTTAAGAATGTGAGCAGCTCCATTGAAATCAACCGCAGTTCAGAACGAGCCTGTATTTTTACAGCCAAAGTGGCAAGGAGGATTCTGAGAGTTTCTCACTTTCATGCACCATTTGCACAAATATAAAATTTCACCCAGCTCTTCCCAATAGCACTAACGATAAAATAGCTGAAGAGAATAGATGCATTTTGTTACTTTCTATGGATCTCTGTGGGAAGAAAAGATCTAAACTACTGAATAAACCCACATCTGTACCTATTTTTAGGTAACACAATGGATTACAATACATACCGCCTTCCTCACTTCCTGTTTTGAAACAATAATCACATTTGGTGGATCCCCGACAGCTGTGGCAGCCCCTCCAATGTTTGTGAAGATAACTTCTGCAATCAGCACATGTCTAGGATCAAGATTAAGTACCTCACATAACCTGCGGTATACATAAGAAAATGAAATCAGCTCCTTAACCTTTGATTAAATTGCCTGTAACCTTAAATGATTTATAAAAGTTAGCACTTGTGTCGGAAACTTCAAACTGTTGAACAAAGGTTAAAACTTGGCCTTTCATAATTAATACTTATATTTTACAATATACTGCAATGGCTACTGCATTCAAAATACATATTTTAAAAACAATATTAAAAGTAGCAAATCATTACGACAGTTGAATTATAGTTAAAGTTACATGAGCCTTTCCATTTTAACAACCCTTCACCGTGGTATATAACTTTCTAACACATGTACCTTTCAGGCTAGAATTTACCAAGTTTGGTCTCTGCCCATACTTTTTTTTTTTTTTTTAAGCTTGAGCAGTAGCATTTCAACAATTGTTTAGGACAAGGAGCGTAGAAAATACACTTGCCACATTATTAAAAAAATTCATGCATTTTTTTTAACTTCAGTATCAGCAGAGCAGCTGATTATAGGTATTAAACAATTTGTAAAGAAATAGCCCTCAGTGAGAAGAAGTATCTCAGAACACTAGAATGAGTTTATCAAGTTATGGTCCATTAAAAATCATGCTGTGCATACACAGTACATTTTGCACAGTCTGTTCACTAAAGTTCTTTTTCAGGAAAACCCTTAAACACGTGCTTGACTTTAAGCAGGTGCTAAGCCATTTCGTGCTTAAAGTTAAGCATACGTCTAAGTGCATAACTGACCAGAGATGGACTTGCATGTGCTTAAATGCTTTCCTGAATCAAAGTCTTAGGCCCCAATTCAGCAGAGCACTTAAGTACAGCAACACTGCATCTGGGAGGTGTGATTCCCCGCACAGGTGGGCAGACTCATGCCAGCTCAGCTTGAGGTAGTACTCTAAAAATAACAGGGTGGACTTTGTGGCACTGGTGCCATCTCAGGCTAGCCACCCAAGTCCACCCAATCCTATGGGTCTAAGCTTGGGCAGCAAGCCTGAGCCACCACCCGTACTGCAACACCCATGCTGTTATTTTTAGCCTTGTAGCTCAAGCTGAGCTACCACAAATCTGTTCACCTGAGCTCAGAATCACACCTCTCAGATTCATTGTAGACATACCTTTGATTTCAAAGGCATTTAAGCACATGCTTACGTGATTTGTTGCATAGGGATGGACTTAAGCATGTGTTCAAAGCTGTTTGTGTTTAAGTGAATCACAGATTTTAAGACCATTATAATCATCTAGTCTGATCTCCTGCATATACAAGCACAGAATTGTGACTGTGCCCATAAGCTGCAGTATCTTTTTTAGAAAGACCTCCTATCTTGATGCAAAGACTTCAAATGACAGAGAATGGATCACATGAGATAAGTTGTTCCAATAGTGAACTAGAGGAAGAGAGGAAGGATGGGCAAGATGGTGCTAGCCTGGGACTTTGGAGACTGGGTTCAGTTCCCTGCTCTACCTCAGACTTCCCATGTGACCATCGGCAAGTGACTTAATCTCTCTGTGCCTCTGTTCTCCATCTTTAAAATGGGGATAATAGTACTTCCCTCCCTCATAAGCAATCTAAGTGCTTAAAAGAGATTGAATTACCCTTAGTGTTAAAAATTTGTGCCTGGGGGACACCAAAGGGCGCTGTGACCAAAGTGGATGCAGGTTGCTTGAGCTCTGAAGCACCCATGGGGTATCCCAAAACATCATCCCCTAACACCTCTCTCTCCCACCCCCATCCAACCTCAAGGAATATTGTGCCTGACTACTGAAACCCACAAGATGCCCTCTAGCTCTGCATCTTCCTCTCCACATCCAAAAAGACAGAAGAAATCTGCCTCCCCGACTTGTACAAACAAAATGGTGCCTGAGCCCGAACACAGCTGCTGGCTTGTACAACAACAGGTGGCTGCAGATACTGCTGAAATTAAATCTACACTTTCCACCCTACAGATCAATATGACTGAGATTCAGAGTGCAGGCTCTATCAGCTTGATGGGAGAAGCTGAACACAGAACTTCTGAAGTGGAAGATGATTTCAAAGAAGAACGACCAGTAATTTCAGGTTCTGAAGAACTGTAATGATATCAAGACTATTAAGACCAAGCTAATTGATCTGGAAAGCCACTCACAATGATGTAAGATCAGGATTGTGGGTATCCCTGAGGTAACTGAGAAAGGTAAACCCTCTGAATTTGTCCCTAAACAGCTAAATTGTTGGATCTGCCAGTAGAATTTTTGTTTTGATATAGAATGAGCACACCGGGCCCTCGCCCCCAAGCCAGCTCCAGAAGATTGGCCTAGAACATTGATTGTGAAGTTCTAGAAGTTAACCACTAAGGAGCTTATATTGCAGAAATCCAGATCAAAAAAGGAGATGTTATGGGGAGAACCAGCAATTAAAATACTGCTCTTTCAAGATTATGCCCATGATGTGGTTTCAGTGAGGGCAGCTGTTAACCAAGTGAAACAATTGGCTAGGCAGATGGCCTTGAAGTATATTATTAAATACCTGGCAACACTCCATATTAAGAATGGCAAGAAGATAGTATCATTCAGTTCCCCTCAAAAGGCAGAAAAATATCTCAAAAAAATCTACAGACTCCTCTGTCACAAGAAGCAACATGTATGCCAGGATCTGATCTTATGGAATTTATGTATTGCTCGCTCAGATCTGATATGACTGTTCTAAACAAGTGGATGGGTGCTAGTTGATACTGATATGTTAGTCCTCTTCTTTTTTTCTCTCTCTCTCTCATTGAGGTTGAAGGATTAAAGGGTTATCATCAATTTACTTCCACTGGCTCCCGCTGCCTCCCCCAGCCTCCCATGCCCTCTTCAGCTCCCCAGGCTCCACTGCCTTTCTCTCTCTCTCCATTGCCCCAACTGATTCCCTGAGCAATTTTGCACACCCAGGCAGGCTGGTCCAGACACATACTCATGGGAAAGGCGCATCAATGTACTATCTATTATTTGATTAGTCATTATGTATATATCATTGCTTTATTAGATGGTGCTTCCTTATTGACTAATGTATCAAGGTTTTATTGGTCATATAGGTGATTACTATAGTTGTAATGTTTGGGGTCCCCAGAGCTGTGAGCATATCCAAATTTCACCTGATCCAGCCACCCCACACTGTCAAATGTATAGTTTAGACTGTTTAAACAGATTCTCCTTTTTTATTGTAAGGTACTAACATGTATTTCTCTCTCCACTCTATTTTCCATTTTGTTTTTTCACTTATTTAATTCCGCTTTCTGCCCTCTTCCCGTTACCCTGCCATGCTAGGAATTTCCTTCCCTTTCCTGTAGAATGTGTACTGGGAAGTGACATGTACAGTGAATATGTACTGGATTATGTAACTTTTGCAGCTTAGATAAGCAAGAACTGTATGCTTCTCAAGAGAATGTGCAATTCCTCATTTTTCACACTGTGACTTTATATTTTATCTGGTATATTTTAGCAATGATGGCTCCTATAATTAAATGTGTCTCCTGGAAGATAAAGCGTTTTAATAACCCTATTACAAGAAAAACTATATATTCAATGCTTAAAAAAAGAGAATGTTGACATTGCTATGCTCCAGAAGACACATCTGACAGAACTTGAAGCTTGTAAACAAAATAAAGATTGGGTTGGCCTTTCAATTTTTAGTTTCTTTAATTCTAAACTGAGGGGCATTGCTATACTAATATATAAAAAGTTGCATGTTAATATTCTAAGTGCAAGGTTTGAGAGTAAGGACAGATTTACTGTCCTCAAGGCTGAAATAGGGAATTCTATAATCATTTTAGCCAATTTCTACAGGCCAAACCAGAATAATCCCAATTTTTTTCATAAACTTTTTATAAGTATAAATGACATGGGTCACCATCCTATTATTGCTGCTGGCAGAGGTGAAAGTAAGCCAGTACAGCTTCTCCGGCGGTGATTTAAAGGGCCTGGGGCTCCCCGCAGCGGCTGGAGCCTCAGGCCCTTTAAATCGCCTCCAGAGCCCTGCAGCCGCTACCCCAGCACTAGCCCGAGCCCTGCTACCCTGGGGTAGCGGCAGCAGGGCTCCAGCAGTAATATAAAGGGCCTGGAGCTCTGCAGCGGCCGGAGTCTTAGGCCCTTTAAATCTTGAAAGGCCACGCCTCTTCCCGTTGAGGCCATGCCCCACTCAGGACTCCGGCGTACTGGTAAGTCCTTTAAACTACTTTCACCCCTGGTTGCTGGGGACATTAACAAGGACATTAACTCTAGATCCAGTCCTTGTTAAATAATTTTCATCTACATACAAAAGCATGAATACTCATGAGGTACTTCATATATACATGGCTGATTTAGGCTTACAAGACGTATGTAGATTGGCCATAGGATTACTCAGGGTATTTTTTTTTCTGCAGTTCATTCAACATATTCAGGATTGGGCTATTTCTTAGTGTCACAAGACTCGATCAATTCTGTCACTGACTGTGGCATTGGTACTATTGTTATATCTGACTATGCTTCTATACATATATCTTTTAGGCCCCCAGGGTATGCACCTCCAACTAAAATGTGGAAATTACATACCTCTCTGCTGTTCAATACATCATTTGTTAACTCTATCCAGAAGGAGTTAGAACTCTTTTTTTAAAAATGCTCCCACTGCTTCATCAGCTGTTACACCTTGGGAAGCCTTTAGGCAAATGGTAATTGCTGATAGTTGGAGGGGACACAATGGCGGGGACCCCCCCTCGCCATCACAGCCACAGTCAACTTCCGGGTGACTGCCAAGATACCCTTCAGCAACACCCTCTTGACCACAGTGCCCCTGCAACCACGGCACTCTGGGCAGTCACCCACCCTTAAGTCCAGCCCTGCCAGGTTCGGCCTTGGGGGAAATGGTGCCCTGGGTGAACTTGTATTTTGGAGCCCTGGCCCCTGTTGCCTCCCCCAGCCCCCCAACCCATCACCCCTGCACCCCGATGCCTCCCCTGAACCCCCAATCTCCACTGGTCCCCACTGCCTTCCCTGCCCCCCCAATCACCCC